ATGAGAGCCCAGAACCAATTTTAATTGGTAGTAGGTTGTCCCACGTGGATTGATTGGGGTTGTAGCAAAGCATACCTGGGTCTTCCATTCTCTGCGAAAGAGAGTTCTTCTGGCAAGCGGCGATAAAGATTGCTGTTTGGGGAAACGGCCTAAATTTTACATGCTGGAAGTTCCAGGTGAAAAAAGCTTCACCACCAATCGAGTAGAAGCAAACGTCAGTGTGCCTTGGGCACTGTTTCACTGAAATCTGCCCATCTGCCCCCTCCCTTTTCATGGGGTCAAACCGAAAAAAGGAAAACTCCGTGTTTTTTTCCCTGGGAGGGGGGTTCCCTAACTAGACACCCAAAGTTGACGGAAAGCGCAACCGAGGAGCCGTTTTCAAGCAGCTACCCTTCAAACACTGCCTAGCCAATGAATGGTGATGCGTTGTGCGTAAAGGGCACGCTTTGCAAATGGGGCCCTTGTGACTAACCAAAGTTACTCCTCTCAAACCAGACCAAACTGCCAGCAATGAGCGCTGCTCGCGTATTTCCAGGCCTCTGCCGCAATCACGGCTGTCCAGCAGATGTTTGTTGGCTTACGTACATGATATAGTGCAGCATGACAGCGGTGTGCGTTGTTTGAAGTCAACAAGCGCAGCGGTTCGGTGAGCTGCAGAGGGCAAGCTGTGAGGGTTGACTGACGGGCCTTTTGACACCCCGTTTGTTGGCTTGCCGGTGGCAGACAAAGGAACTGAAAAGGGTGCCCTCAAGACCCAGGTCTGACGAATATGAAGGTGCTCACAAAGTGGGTACATTTTGGTGCAACTGATCTGGCGCGCAGTATTTGTGTCGCAGCAATCAGTGGAGCGAACCTGGTCGGGATCTCAACTAGTTGGTTTCCAGTTGGTTGCCGCTAAAGCTAGGCAAGGTTCCCAAAAGTACACGGTCCGCTGTCGGTCAATCGCAAATAGCCAGCGCAGTCGGTCAGACGGGCAGTTGGCTCTGCGCTTGTAATGGTGCTTTCGGATCAGTGAAAAGCCACCCGGTGAAACTTGGCGTGTCAAAGCAAGGGACCGCTTTGGCGTCCATCTCAAACGCACACCAACATGAAGCGAGGGGTCTGGTTTTGGCATATTTACCTTTTTGATCGCAGGGTTGTTGAAGGGCTTGTATGTCTGAGTGGAAAACCCGCAATGTCGGCAGGTCTTTGGCTCTCGGCCCTACGATGGGAGGTCCGCTGACATATTTTCCATCGGCGCTGTGATGCACCACATGATCGCGCCGCGGCGAGACGTCAGAGATATTAGGACCTCTGGCAGGGGCCTTTGATATCCTCCCTCAATGGTTTGGAATGCTATTGGTCGCTCGTCGTTGCGAGTTTTGTTGCTTGGTCTGAGTTGGGAAGATGGGCTAAGCCCGTGCAAACCATGAGCGCGGCTCTATACGGACTGGATTGTGGGGTGAGGATATCCCTGTCGTGAACGATTTCTGGGCTGATCCCCAATATTTCCCACGGAGAACAAGAAAGTGTCGTCTCCTTGTGAGATCACGCGAGGATTTAGAAGGCTTATCGTACCCTGCGTGGCGATGTGGCCATGGGTGGTGCACCTACCCCAAAATGGTACCAAAGGTTTTGACCCAGAGCCATGTTGACATCGCTCAACAACTGAGGTGGGCGTGCCACCCAGCTGGCAGTCCAAGACCCTTGGCGTGACAGACATGAAACGGAGGTTTGCAAGTGTGAGCTCTGCGGGATGTGGTCAACACGAAGAATGCCCTATTCTGACGCATTGCATATGTATGCCAGAAGTAGTTGTTGCATCTCTGGGCTGTGCATGCTTGTCTGCCTCTTCTTTTTTTGTTTGTTTGTTTGTTTGTTTGTTTGTTTGTTTGTTTGTTTGTTTGTGTGTGTGTGTGTGTGTGTGTGTGTGTGTGTGTGTGTGTGTGTGTGTGTGTGTGTGTGTGTGTGTGTGTGTGTGTGCGTGTGTGTGTGTTTGTGTGTGTGTTTGTGTTTGTGTTTGTGTTTGTGTTCGTGTCGTGTGTTTGTGTTTGCACCTGTGCGGTGGAGTGTTGCGTGCTGTTGTGTTGTTGTGTGTGGTATTGACTAGTTGTGTTTGCGTGTGTAAATGTTTGGATTGCGTGCCATGCAAGCCGCAGCACTCGGTGCGTGTGTGTTATTGGCTTCGAGATCTAAACCACCTATAGTTGCCATGCAGGAAGTCAAGCACAACCTCACACACCGACTAGCTAGCATTTGTACAGCAAGTTCTTTGTTGCTGTCCTTTGGATCATTTTCCGGAAAGACCATTATTATCGAGTCCAGGCCGCTTCTTTGCAGCAGGTGCAACAGCCCAAGCGAGACGATCGCTTTTTTTGCAGTGTTCCATGTATTTTATGTTCTCATTGGTTCGACACAAATGCAGATCATCAGCTTAGTAACACGAGCTCCAGATTGGTTCTGGGTCCGGTCCGGATCCCCAAACGAGCGTTTAGCGGCTTGCAATCTAAATTGGCGCCGCCTCAGGGCCTGAGACAAACAAAGCTCGCAGACAGCCCCGGTGTCCTTCCAACTTTTTGTGAGCACCCTGATCTCAGGAGCAATGTGCCTCGGCCGCTGTGGGTCGAATTGGTTCGCACCGCTGGCACTCAAGGTGCGAAGTATGTGTGGACGTGCTAATTGTTTGGGAACTTCCCCCAAGCGGTTGGATTATCTCCAGCCGGTTTTCCCTTGATAACCTGCCAGAAGGCGGGTCCACTCATGTCGAGGTCTTCAGCAATTAGGTTGCGAATCTTTTTATACAGAACGTACTCAACGCAGACATTTGCAGCAATCTGATCTTGTAGTGATCAGCTCCACACATTTGATAGACATGCTGCAGCTTTCGGTACTGTTTGTTTTTTCACGAGCGTGCTTTGCCACAAATGTCACATTTTGAGATGTCAAAGAAGCAATGCACAGGCTTCTCTTGCATGACCCTCTTTGCTTGCTGGTGCCGTGTATGCCATCTTTGTGTCAGACATCAGGATATGGTTTGTTCAATGCCCAAACGGATACATCAAAAATCCGGTATTTGGACAGGATAGTAGGCAACACGGGAGCCAGAAGAAGATCAGCTTTTTGGATGTTTCCGAAAATTAGTAACACCTCCCTTGGTTTCAAGAGTAGTCCAGGGAAACACTATCATGTGCAGGTATTTTTTCAACACCAATTTGGAATCTCCCGTTTTGACTCGACCTGCTCGTCTGGATGGACCTTGGACGACTCAAGGCAGTCCGATCGGTGCTGGAATTTCCGGATCCAGCATGTGCCGGATCAACCTGGCTGCAGAGACAGAGTTGGACAACTGACCGCTTACCAGGGGCCAGAGAGGAAGAGCCGGTTTGGGGGTTATTTGCCTTGACTACTATTGGGTTGGATCTTTAGACTTTAACTTTTTGGGAAATGAAGGTGTTTTCCACTAAACCCCCCAAAAAGGTAAACTGTTCGCAGGGGGTCAACAGCTTCAAGCTGCTTCCCCCAAAGTTATCATCCACTCAGCCAGGGCCAACTCTCAGACCATCTGAGTAGCTCAGTCTCAAAAAGCAGTAGTTGCAGTGCGCCGCATTGAGGCCTACAACTTCTCGGGGAAAATGCGGTACAAGCAGTTCTCAGAAGATTGTCAGTCGCTGCTCGAGCATTTGCCGCTTGATCCCAGTCACATTTGCATGAAGTCGCAAGTTTGTGTAGCAAGTGTTCATCCATATGCCTTTGTTCAAGTCCTAGCACCACAGTAATAACTTGCTCGTGCTACATGTCCCTTGCCGAAACTGATTGTGGCTTGATGCAAACCAATTGATTAGAAAGGTGTCCATTGAACCTTACAGATTAGCTGGACGTATTGTTGCTTCATGGAGTGGGACGATGCTGAATTCTTGAGGGCAATGCCAGTACTATTGGCATTGCCCTCGTAACATGGCACCTGCAATAGCGCAGGAGGTTCGACAACATGGGAGCAACAGCCCTTGGCAGTGGAAGATGAAATCATTTGCTTCGCGATGTTGTCGTTCGTGCTTTGTTTGGTTGTGTGACAGCGCATGGTCGAATTTATTGTTTTAGTGTTCTCAGTCGTTGTCCACTTTCGCCCTGTGTGAGTTGATTGAGTGTGTCGATTTTTTGTTGAGGGCACCCCGTTTGGCTGTTGAAAGGAAGCAGGGAAGTCACCCTTTTCAGAGTTCCATGAGGCAAACGTTGACTTCTTTTGTCCAGGTTGCATGAAGAGCCTGAGATGCGGCCTACAGCTGCCGAGGCGCCTTTGGGCGGGATGACCATCAAAAAAAAACTTTTTTGGCAATCAACAAAAAACTTTCAGCCATCAACAAAAAACTTTTTTAGCAATCAAAAACAACTTCCCGCCCACAATCTCACTCTGCTGCTTGTATATTCTGTTCTTTTGGTTGGCATTTGATTTTCTGGTTCCTTGAACACCCCTGGTCCCGTGGTCCTTTGGTCCCTTGGTCCTTTGGTCCCTTGGTCCTTTGGTCCCTTGGTCCTCTGGTCCCTTGGTCCTTTGGTCCCTTGGTCCTTTGGTCCCTTGGTCCTCTGGTCCCTTGGTCCTTTGGTCACCTTGGTCCCTTGGTCCTCCACTTTCCTGGTCCTTGCTCCTCTGGTCCCTTGGTGCCTGGTCTTGGTCTCCTGGTCCCTTGGTCCCGGTCCTGGAGCCCTTGATCCTCTGGTCCCTCGCTCCTTTGGTTATCTTTGGCCTCTGCTCTGTTGGTCTTGGTCCCTTCATCCTTGCATTTCTGGTCCTCTGGTCCTCTGGTCCCTTGGTCCCTTGGTCCTTTGGTCTCTTGATCCTTTGGTCTTTTGAGTTCCTCTCTGTTTGGCTTTTGCAGCTTTTTGTTGGGTTTATGCAGCTTTTGCGGCTTTGGCTTTTCGCATCCTCTGCATTACCAGTTTCTCTCAGGTGGCTTTTTGGCTTTGTGGCTTTTGGCGGCTTTCTGGCTTTGGCTTTTTGCATCCTCTGCTTTCCCAGTTGGTTATTGGCCGTGGCTTCCTGCATCCTCAGTTCCTCTTGCCCCCCTTTCAATTGAAATGCCACCCCTATTCAAATCATCACTTTTTCGATCATCATGGGGGGGCCAACCCCCCACTACTATGTAGATTTTTTGCCCCTCATTGAATCATCACTTTTTCGATCGTCCCCCGCCCTAATTGAATCATCACTTTCTGGATCATCATGGGGGGGCTGCCACCCCCCAACCCCCCCCGCTACTTTTAGATGTTTGGCCACAACTTGAATGATCACTTTTTCGATCATCCTGGGGGGGGCGGCCCCCCAACCCCCCCGCTACTTTTTAGATTGTTTGCCCCCTCGCTGTTGTTTTTTTTTTTTATCTTGCCCCTAATTGAATCATCTGTTTTTCGATCATCTGGGCGGGGGCTGCCGCCCCCCCCCAACCCCCGCCCCCCCGCTACTTTTTACATTTTTTACCCCTAATTGAATAGTCACTTGTTCGATCACCATTGGGGGGCTGCCCCCCCCCTACTTCTCAGATTTTTTGCCCTAGTTGAATCATTATTTTCTTGATCATCGAGCTGCCACCCCCCCCCCCAAACCCCCCCTCTACTTTTAGATTTGTGGCCCCCAATTTGAATCATCACTTTTTCGATCGTCATGCGGTAGCCCCCCCCCCCCAACTTCCCCGCCACTTCAAGATGTTTTGCCCCTAATTGAATCATCACTTTCTGGATCATCATGGGGGGGGCTGCCGCCCCCCCAACCCCCCCGTTATTTTTAGATGTTTGGCCACAACTTGAATGATCACTTTTTCGATCATCGTGGGGGGGGCTGCCGCCCCCCCCAACCCCCCCGCTACTTTTTAGATTGTTTGCCCCCTCGCTGGTTTTTAGATTTCTTGCCCCCTAATTGAATCATCAGTTTTTCGATCATCATGGGGGGGGGGCTGCCGCCCCCCCCAACCCCCCCGCTACTGATCCAGAAAGTGATGATTCAATTAGGGGCAAAAAATCGAAAAGTGCGGGGGAAGTTGGGCGGGGGGCTGCCGCATGACGATCGAATGATTGAATTAGGGGCAAAAAGTCTAAGGGGCAGTTTTAGATTTTTGGCCTCCTCGCTGGTTATTTAGATTTCTTGCCCCTAGTTGAATCATCAGTTTTTCGATCATCATGGGGGGGCTGCCGCCCCCCAACCCCCCCGCTACTTTTAGATGTTTGGCCACAACTTGAATGATCACTTTTTCGATCATCCTGGGGGGGGCTGCCGCCCCCCCCAACCCCCCCGCTACTTTTTAGATTGTTTGCCCCCTCGCTTTTTTTTAAAATGTCTTGCCCCTAATTGAATCATCTGTTTTTCGATCATCTGAGCGGGGGCTGCCGCCCCCCCCCAACCCCCGCCCCCCCGCTACTTTTTACATTTTTTACCCCTAATTGAATAGTCACTTGTTCGATCACCATTGGGGGCTGCCCCCCCCCTACTTCTCAGATTTTTTGCCCTAGTTGAATCATTATTTTCTTGATCATCGAGCTGCCACCCCCCCCCCCCAAACCCCCCCTCTACTTTTAGATTTGTGGCCCCCAATTTGAATCATCACTTTTTCGATCGTCATGCGGTAGCCCCCCCGCCCCCCAACTTCCCCGCCACTTCAAGATGTTTTTATTTGAATCATCACTTTCTGAATCATCATGGGGGGGGCTGCCGCCCCCCCAACCCCCCCGTTATTTTTAGATGTTTGGCCACAACTTGAATGATCACTTTTTCGATCATCGTGGGGGGGGCTGCCGCCCCCCCCAACCCCCCCGCTACTTTTTAGATTGTTTGCCCCCTCGCTGGTTTTTAGATTTCTTGCCCCCTAATTGAATCATCAGTTTTTCGATCATCATGGGGGGGGGGCTGCCCCCCCCCAACCCCCGCTACTGATCCAGAAAGTGATGATTCAATTAGGGGCAAAAATCGAAAAAGTGCGGGGGAAGTTGGACGGGGGGCTGCCGCATGACGATCGAATTGATTGAATTAGGGGCAAAAAATCTAAGGGGCAGTTTTAGATTTTTGGCCTCCTCGCTGGTTATTTAGATTTCTTGCCCCTAGTTGAATCATCAGTTTTTCGATCATCATGGGGGGGGCTGCCGCCCCCCCCAACCCCCCGCTACTTGTTAAATTGTTTACCCCTAATTGAATCATCACTTGTCCTCTACTTTTAGATTTGTGGTCATGCGGTAGCCCCACCCCCCCCCCAACTTCCCCGCCACTTCAAGATGTTTTGCCCCTAATCGAATCATCACTTTCTGGATCATCATTGGGGGGGCTGCCGCCCCCCCAACCCCCCCGCTATTTTTAGATGTTTGGCCACAATTTGAATGCTCACTTTTTCGATCATCGTGGGGGGGGCTGCCGCCCCCCCCAACCCCCCCGCTACTTTTTAGATTGTTTGCCCCCTCGCTGGTTTTTAGATTTCTTGCCCCCTAATTGAATCATCAGTTTTTCGATCATCATGGGGGGGGGGCTGCCGCCCCCCCAACCCCCCCGCTACTGATCCAGAAAGTGATGATTCAATTAGGGGCAAAAAATCGAAAAAGTGCGGGGGAAGTTGGGCGGGGGGCTGCCGCATGACGATCGAATGATTGAATTAGGGGCAAAAAATCTAAGGGGCAGTTTTAGATTTTTGGCCTCCTCGCTGGTTATTTAGATTTCTTGCCCCTAGTTGAATCATCAGTTTTTCGATCATCATGGGGGGGGCTGCCGCCCCCCCCAACCCCCCCGCTACTTGTTAAATTGTTTACCCCTAATTGAATCATCACTTGTCCTCTACTTTTAGATTTGTGGTCATGCGGTAGCCCCACCCCCCCCCAACTTCCCCGCCACTTCAAGATGTTTTGCCCCTAATCGAATCATCACTTTCTGGATCATCATTGGGGGGGCTGCCGCCCCCCCAACCCCCCCGCTATTTTTAGATGTTTGGCCACAATTTGAATGCTCACTTTTTCGATCATCGTGGGGGGGCTGCCGCCCCCCCCAACCCCCCCGCTACTTTTTAGATTTTTTGCCCCCTCGCTGGTTTTTAGATTTCTTGCCCCCTAATTGAATCATCAGTTTTTCGATCATCATGGGGGGGGGCTGCCGCCCCCCCAACCCCCCCGCTACTGATCCAGAAAGTGATGATTCAATTAGGGGCAAAAAATCGAAAAGTGCGGGGGAAGTTGGGCGGGGGGCTGCCGCATGACGATCGAATGATTCAATTAGGGGCAAAAAATATAAGGGGAAGTTTTAGATTTTTTGCCTCCTCGCTGGTTATTTAGATTTCTTGCCCCTAGTTGAATCATCAGTTTTTCGATCATCATGGGGGGGCTGCCGCCCCCCCAACCCCCCCGCTACTGATCCAGAAAGTGATGATTCAATTAGGGGCAAAAAATCGAAAAAGTGCGGGGGAAGTTGGGCGGGGGGCTGCCGCATGACGATCGAATGATTCAATTAGGGGCAAAAAATATAAGGGGAAGTTTTAGATTTTTTGCCTCCTCGCTGGTTATTTAGATTTCTTGCCCCTAGTTGAATCATCAGTTTTTCGATCATCATGGGGGGGCTGCCGCCCCCCCCAACCCCCCCGCTACGTTTTAAATTGTTTACCCCTAATTGAATCATCACTTGTTCGATCACCATGGGGCCCCCCAACCCCCCCGCTACTTCTCGGATTTTTTGCCCCAGTTGAAACATTATTTTCTTGATCATCATGGTGGGGGGCTGCCACCCCTCCCCCCCAACCCCCCCGCTACTCGCCCAGACCATCGCAAAAGAGTAACCCCGCAGCTACAGCACGTGTGATGAGACCGTGTCCGTGCGCGTGCACTGCGTGTTCCTTTTGATACACACGTTTCTCAGTAAATGCAGCCCTGAGTGCATTCAGTTTTTTCTTGATGGCTAAAAATGTTTTTTGTTGATTGCTAAACAAAGTTTCTTTTTGATTGTTAAACAAGTTTTTTTTGATAGCCTTCCCCCTTTGGGCAACGCTTTTGAACGAATCTAGCCAGGTGTCAAATAGGGTTGTAGAACCAGGCTTTAGGGTTTAGGGGACATGAACAACTTCAAACATACTTGTCTCTTGTGGCTTCCTTCTAAAGTCGCGAGTTGTTGCTTTGCACCGAGGCAAAATCATGGGGGTCTCCGAGTCTCCAACAAATTTGGGGCAAGTTCGTGGGATGAGACAACCCCATGGGGCTTCAAGCCCAAGTTGCCATGGAAGACGATAATTCCAGCAAATTCTCGCCAAGCTCCACTGGGGTGAAAGATGACCTCGCAAGACACACGGAAAAAAAAGAGGAAAGGGACACACCAGCCGTACTGAGGCAACACACATCTAAACGAGGCTGCGGACTTAACGATTGGGGTGGTTTGCGGGGTCCCTGATGTGAGGACCAAACAAGGCCGCCTCGAGTTGAACTCACGATAGGGAATGTTTATTCGGGGGCGGTTTGCAGGGTCTGTGAAAATATGGTTTTAAGGATAGAAATCCTGCTTAGTGGATACTCTTACGGGCGGCAAAACCAAGGAACCTGATAAAACCAAGGAACCTGATCATTTGAGGGCGTCCCATGATTTGGGAATCACTGAAACGGCGAACATGTGATCATGAGCAGCCAACGGAACAAGGCTATCGCTTTGCGATAATTAGGGACCCTTGACGCATTTCCATTCGAGGGGCCGCTGATGCCCAGCATTTGAGTTATGAAACCTCAAACATGGGCTTCTAAAAGGTGATTCCTTTGCAGACTTGCCAGGCATTGCAGCACCCCTGGTTCCAGCAGACCAAGAGTCATCCCGTTGACGGGGAGATCGCATCTTGCTTCGCAATGGGTGGACGTCTGCGTCGAACGGAGCTGGCGACGTGCAATCTGGGACTAGATGTGTTCGGTAAGTTTTCCGTTTCACCTGAGCTGGTGATGTGAGGAGGTCAAAGTCATCAGAGACCACTTCAAGCTGTTTCATCGGATACTTGCTTCTTTTGTTTGCAGATTTGGGCTTCACAAAAAATCAAGCGCGATTCTCCAAGTGCGGTTCAGACAAACGGCATGACCCAACCGTGAGGAATGCACACGCATGCTGGTAAAACATCCCATGCTTGATTGCTTTGTCAGTTTACTGTTCATGGACGTGTGACTTTTGGATCGGTATCCTTTTCTGCTGGGTTGAAAGGGAAACCACAAGGGAAACAACTTGTTTCATTCATGTGTGACTTTTTGAGGGTGCCCTTTTCTGGTTGAAGTTGGCGGGCCCCCCCCATTCTGACGCATCCGCATTTGGATGTCCAGTCACCCGTCCACTCGATCCCCCCTGTTAGGAGTCCTTGCTGGAGAGGTGCTTCAGGAGACCGGGGACTCGGATATTTTTTTTGCAAGTGGGTCATCCGAGCTGCGTGAAAACCAGGCGGACTCCAATGTGTACATATACTATATACACAGACTATATTTATATACATATATATATATATTCACATTATTATTTATCATTCTTATAATACACGTTATCATTTTGTATCAACAAACAAATGTAAAGGTTTGCTTGTGACTCGCTGCCATCCGATGCCTTGGCCTGCGAAGATGTCAGGAGAATGCACGACTTTTGCCAGCGATCCCAGCTGCAGAAGACAATCATGCCCCGGGCTCAGAGTGGGAATGGCAGAACGCATTGCGAGACCTAGCCTACCTTTTCAACTATTTTTACCCTTGGGTTGTCCATGGTTCTCCTTTAGTTCCCCTGTCAACCAGGCAACCAAGACCTATTCGCAGGGGGTCGTAGTCCGGTCCAGAACAGCAGTGCCGGGTGCGGAGTCGTCAGACACCGGCTGAAGATTAGGAAGGACACCGGCGAAGTGAAGATGTCACCAACCTTTGACTCAAGGTTGGCGAGGTTTCGATCGCAAGTGGCATTTTGTCCACCAGCCGTGATTTGTCCATGGGTCTTTACTCCAGCAGCAAGGGTTCCGGTTGTTGAGGGCCTTGCCCCCTCGAGGTACAGCATGGTGGCCTTCGCGCCGCTTCACAACCACCACATGGAGCAGCTGCGCTGCTCTGTCAGGAACCGGCGTGGGGAAGGGCTTGGCAAGCACCTTCAGTTGCCGGCAACTGACCCAAAAATCACCAGGTCCTGTTTCGTTCAAACCGGAAGAGAGGCTGGGAATGGTAGGGATTTTGCTCCTCAGCTCTCGAAACCAGTAAGTTTTGGGTGATCCGCCATATCTCTTAGAATTTATCCATAAGCAAGAAGGCTTCGGCGCCTGCTGTTTTTTGGCAGTCTGATGCACTACGTGGATTGGATTCTAAGAAAAACAGCAAACAATGGGGGGGTAGAGCCTTTATTCAAAGGTGCAGATATGACCGAGCCCCTTTTTTAATAGCCGACATATCTCAGGGAGGCAAAGGCAAAATTGCCATTGTACTTTCCGTACTCGTTTAAGGGGCAATGGGTTTCTCATGGACATGGCTCCGCATTGCCTGAATACGTGTTGACGTCTTCTACGTCTTCTTACCTTCAGGCTAACCGCCTGCATGGGACAAGTTTCACCCGTTGAAACGTGTGCAGCACTGCATTTGCAATGAACATGGCACAGTGCGCTACCTTCCATATAGCTGGTCAAACCTCACACTGGAAAATTGTTGGCTACTGAAAAAAGATGGGTGAAGAGATGTGGAACCAACCCTTTGGACATGTCCCTTGGTTGTGAAGGGCCCGTCACAAGGCTACCCCCCGGTCCCGTTAAGGACGAGTAGAGTGCCGCGATCAACAACCATTAGAGAAGCAGAGATTCGTGGTGGCAAATCCCAAACCATTGATAGAGCCAGCCGCTTACCAGGTTTGCGTTGTGACTCACCTGGTCAAGTCACGGTTTCTCGGAGATTCAGAGGGGGCCGTTTCCGTGAGACTGGCCTGACCTTGGCCTAAGTCCGATCCATCCCCGAGGTCCGCGTCAAGGCCTCCGTGATTTTCAGGTGTTCCCAACATCGGGAGCGTGGCTTTTCAACTGTCTTCTTTGGGTAAGTACACTGATCACGCGGCCCATAGGAAAACACAAAGGGCACGCAAAGAAAAGCAAGAACCATCAAAACCACCGAAAGGGAAGCGTCCGCGCCCGGCGCTCGGCCTGAGGCACTGCTTTTCTTTTTGCAGATCGAGGCCGGAGCTCCCGAGGTTCGGCCGCCCAAGTTTGGAACCCTCAGCCCGATTTAGCAGAAAAGCCCACACCGAGTTCGGATTTCACCCAGAGGATTGTGGAAAAATCAGGCAAAGGCTGAATCAGGATTATGGAAAATCCGGGATGAATCCCAATGCTCAATCAAGTTCAGACCCAGACCGCGTTCGGCAGAGCTCCCTCTATCGGTTGGTAGTTCCCGGAGCGATCCTTCGGCCCTGGCAGGTAGATCCGCCGGGAATCTTGGCTCGCATTGGTTGTTTGAACAGAAGGAATGCGGGGGCGTCTCAAAAATTGGGGGCTCCTTTTTGGATGGTTTTAAAAGGAAACCAAGAGAACACCACCTACCTGGGTCCGCGATTTTGAGAAACACTCATGTGGGTATGACTTTGGATTGGGAACCTTTTGGTGGACATGATTTAGCTGGCAATTTGTGTCCACCAAAGCCAGCATTACACTTCTACGTAGATGATCGTATTCCCGGAAGTCACTCAAGCTTGCAAAGAGACTGGTACAGCCCACAAGTAGTTGGATAGATGCAAGCAATGCGCCACATACACATAAGGCTACCTGTCTCTAAATGACTTAGGTATCGGCGTATGCGTGGACTTTTGTCAACATGTTCTTGGAACCATAGAAATAATGCACCACAACACAAGCCTGCGTATGGACAACTGCCATCATGCCGCGTTCGAGTCAAATGCGAACAGTACCCGCGCGGTTCTTTCTTTGGGAAGCTTTCCTTGACAGGCGCTCAGCTGGTGCGGATATGAGTGTGTCCTTTGCTGAAGATACCCTCTGAGGTTGCTTCATGAAGGCAAAGCAAGGACACAAGTTGGTGAACTTCATAATTCCCCAGCCTGAACAATTTGTAGGGGGGTCCATATCCTTTGACACCAACCCAACATTGTTTCAGGTTGTTGAGGAGCTCAATCCACCATTTCAATGTTTTGCGGACGGATTTGCGGGTATATATACTGTATAGAACACACATGTCCTATCAGATGCACTGGATTTCTCCCTCAGTATTTGGGTTTGTGGTTTTTGGAGGGCGCCGTTTTCAGACTACAATCATTAACTTGGTGATTCACGGCAGCACATTTTGAGACCAGGATCAGCTGCTTCGAGTTTGTGGAGCTGGGGCGAAAGCACAGCGCCTTTTCCCCGGCGGAGCTGCGCCGCAGCTTCGCCGTGGCCAACGTGTCGAGGAGCGGCAAGCTCTCGTACTGCCACTCGCCTGCGCCCTCGGGTCCAACTTCCCCGGAACATCTGGAGACATCGAAGTGCGGGGTTCTCAAACCGACTCAAACCACTTTCTTATTATCTGTTTTTTTGTTTTGGGGGAGGGGGAGTGGGGTTCTTTGCACTGAGAAGGACGGTATTTTTGAGGATGTCACTTTAATGGGCTCAAGGGTTTCCTCTGGGGATGTACAAGGGTCAAACTTGGTTGAAGAATGGAGAGGTCAAGACTTGATACTTTTGGATCCGGATGTACAGAATTGGCGGGGAAGGTTCCAAATGAGGAGCGTTCGGACGAAAGTTGTTGTGTTTTTTTTGTGAGAACAGGGGCACTGCAGTGTGTTGGCAGGCAAAACTAGCTTGCCGCGTATGCCCGTGCGGCGTTTCGCGCCATCATTGTGTTTTGTCTTGCGTAGGCACTCGCGCAGGCAAGCCGCTCTCGAGATTATACATCATGAATCACAGAGCTCTGCATCGCCTGAAGCTTTCACGTTTTGCAGTAGTTGAGACCGAAAGACGAGGTGCTGTTGGACTTGCATTGCTACGTATCAGCCAGTGCTCCAATAGCTTGGAAAGGTAGTTTTAGAGCAGAAATGCTTCAATCCTCGCAAGGATCTGCGTAGGCTCCGCGTGGGTGCCTGCTAGGCCCATTTCGTGGATATACCCCTTGCTGGGCGGACGACTGCAGCTGCTCATGTTGAGCTTCCCGTTTCAATCTTCACCGAGTAAAGCACTTGTACTGTGGAGCTGGAGATGCCAAAGTGCCTTTCATATATTACACTCTTAGATTGAAAAGCTACAAGTGGGCAATGCACGACTCGGCATACAAAGCTTGAGGTAGAAAAGCAGTGGTCAAGCGGCTTTGCGTTTGCATTTGAGTAGGCAATGAACACTCAAAGTCGCATACGTAAGTGTGCACGCAGTGTATAGGCCAAGAGCATCCAACTTACCAAGCTTATACCGTAATCCTCTTACCAACCTGGACTGACTCATGGCAATGGCCATTGTTGGCGTCGTTTCTCACAAATAATTATGCCAGAAAAGGAGTGTCCAGGTGTATGGATTCTATGAGCATCGCACGCTCCACATCGTCGAGAAGTGGACATGTGGCGAACGTTTTTGTTTTCTCTTATCTAAAGGCCAATGACCTCGTCTCCCGAGCGATGTTAGAACGGGGGCAGGCAGCGAGGGCCCAATCGGATTGAACAATCAGACATGGATTTTGCTGGGGCCAGGGGTGTCCTCGTCGCACAATTCCCTTTGCGAAGGGCAACCCTTTTAACTGCCCAGCAATGATCATGTCGGGGGTTCTCAAGATGCTGGACCCCCTTCTCGTTGGGGTGTACAGAGAAATCAATGGAAACCTTTTTAGGGGGCCCTGTATCAATGTTACCATTAACGAAGAGCCCCAAAGGACAGGCCGTTACCCTAGTGCAAGTGGAGCTTCGGGCTGCAGCACGGTCGTCAACTACACACGAGTTGTTTTTTTCCCGGGAGATTGCCTATTTGTGGGTGGTTTTGAAGGCGAGTCTAAAAGGCACCACCCATTTATTGGATCCCCGTTGGACACATGCCCGCTGGTCACCTACCGCAGGCGAGTGGTTAGCTGCGGCCGCACCGGCTGACTGGTACTCGCAGCAGAGCAATGCCCAAAGGGCGTCCCTTGGATGAGCCATTTGCGAAGCGTTTCGAGCAGAGCTTTAGTTCGTGACGATTTGTTTCCCTCCCACCAACTAACATGGAAGTGCACACATCCCGTTTCCAAGAGGAAAGTACGTAGTCTTTCCACAGGGGTCTGTGCACTTCCATGTTAGTCGGTGGGAGGGCAATTTCCCTTTGTTTTGTGACCAGGTTGACGTTTGCCATTGTCGTGTGTGTTTTTTTTCTTTGCTTCCAATGGAGGTGCAAGGAAGCCTGATTTGGTTGCGCTGTTGCTTCTTAATGCCCATGCAGTAGGTTGTGGCAGATTGTGGTAGAGTTCAGGCTGAAGTGCGAGTAGTGCTGCGGGAGATGGCACTGACATTGTATGTGTTTTGACACATGTGTTGTGTGTTGGCTTCATTTTGTTCAGTTTTGTTTTGCCTGGTATTGTTTGCATGTATGGTTTGTTTGTTTGTATGGTTTGTTTGTTTGCTTGTTTGTTTGTTTGTTTGTGTGTGTGTGTGTTTGTCTGTTGTCTGTTTGTTGCTAAATTTATTTTCGCCCTAGTTGTTTATGTTTTCCCCCTGAGTGCGTGCTTTGTTTTGCTTTGCTTGATTTAATTTGTTTGCCCTCTAGCTTACTAGCTTGCCTGCTTGCTTGTCTGCGTTGCTTGCTTGCCTGCGTTGCTTGCCTGCCTTGCAACTGGAGTGCCTCCGCTCAAGAGAATTAGCGCGTGTGATGAGCAAGGGTCAGTATTTATGACTCCCAGCATTGTTCCAGACGCTGGCGTGTCTTCAAATAGGGGACCCGCAACATGGACCCTGCGCTCCCTTCACGCAAAGGGATCGCAAAGACTCACGCTGTAGGAACCCATAGGCACCCCCCATAGCCATGTTGTTCCAATCATGAAGGCTGAAGACATACTTGGTACCTAAAGCAGAGACTAGGTAGGGGTTCATACCAGAGGTTCACAATTGTGGGTCCACACAAAAGGGCTTGTCTTCCAAAAGGGGCGGGGTGTAACCTAACATGACCGAACCAACTGAAACAGGGGCACTTTTCCTTGAGAACAGCGCTCATTGGATCTGTACATGTCTAAGATTGTTTCCACTACCCCCAAACCACTACCCCCAAGGGGCGTTCGGAGGATGTGGATAGTGGACATTGTCTTGCGGGGCACCCAAACCCCGGCCTGAGGTTTGACACCCTGGACGTGAAGCGGAATGGCCATCTTTGTGCTGCCGATCTTTGCCCCTTGGCAAGCAAGAAATCTCGAGGGCCTATACAGCCGCCCCCAAAACCGGGCCAAGGGCTCGTTGTAAGTAGGGGGGGCTTGTTCCTACCTGGTTTGAGGGGTTATGGTAGAGCTTATATAAACCTTTATAATTAGGGTAGTAGAACCAAAAGTCAAAGGGTGAAACGGGCGCTGCTCATTTGACTTCCCTGAGCGTTGACAGAAGGAACCCAAATAAATTCTCATTAGAGACGACTCCTTTCGGAAGCCAACCTGGGCTCATGTCTGTATTTGCAGAGGAGCAGCAACGGGGTAGAATTTAGTCCGAAGTTGGCCCGCAGGAAACCGAAACCGAAGAGCATTCACCCTGGCTCGTTCGACGCCTACATGAATCATTGGGAGCAGTGCGGTAGCTGCGGTAATGTGCCGCCGGAGCTCCTTGCGGGAACTTGTGCAAGGGAGACAAACACCATGCGGTTGCCCCAAGGCAATTGTTTCTTTGCTCCGTCCTGGTCTGAAACAGATTCCGGCTGTTGCGTCATTTGTTGCAGGCCAGTAATGTGATAGTAGTTCAGAATCAAGAACCCCTGCTGAAATCAAGTGTTCTTGAATAACAGGCACTATGCCACAAAATCAGTACTATAGCATTGCATTCTTGACAGGTCTAGACGGCCAGCATGAGTCTTGTTTCCAAGTGCGTGCAGACTCCCTCCTGGTGGCACTGCGGTAGTATCCACGCGGTTGAGGCCAAGTTCAGGAGGAATTCAGGCCAGGGCCTGTGTTTCAAAAAATTGACTGGACGCACAACAAACATCTTGCACGGTATGGAAGGGTATTTATTTCTTTCCTGCTGGGTCGACTAGCATCAAGGTGCATGTAGGGATATTTGCACTGAACCCAGAGGCACAGAGACATGTGTAGGTAGAAGCACATGCCCTCTCCAGCTAAGCGCACAGGTCGGATTCTGAAGGATAATGAGCCCTTTGAAGGTTCGCACGAAGCAGTTTGCAATGCTTCACAAGTTCACTTTGAATGACAGACCTGGCTTCACGGCATGAAGCATATTCCAAGCGTAAGTGGATGTCGCCGCTATTCTGGAGCAACCCGGAAGAATCCTCAGCTCCGTCCCATCCAGACTTTGCAAGACACAGCTTCTATTTTATTTGTCTTTCCCGGAGGGATCCCTTCCCGTGCTGAGAGCAATTTGCAGAACACATCTCCAAGATCAAGAGCATTGTGACTGTACCTGCTGGCTCCCAGCTATCCCCTTAGCCTTATAGCTTTTTAGTGTTCAGTGGTAGTTTGACATTTATCCCACTCAAAGTGAAACTTTCAGCAGGGGGTCTGAGGGCAGCCCGGTGAGGATTGCATATTGCACAGGGCTGAACTCTGAGCACGTTTCAGAGGGCAGCCGCCTGCTTGAGGCCAGCTTTTGCCAAAGGTGTCCGCTCCTCAGAGCAGGGGAGGGAAGCTACTGGATGGCGTGACACCTGGCAAGCGTTTTTGGCTGGCGGAGGTAAAGAGCGTCCACGAATCCAGGGGTTTCCCGAATTTGGGAATAGAAGCCAAAGGATTCTGCCGATGAGTTGCCTAACAAGATTGGTAAGCTCGGAGGCAGTAGCCTTCTAGATCTTGGAAGAGGTTCAAGTGGAACCGGACGCTAAATTCGGAAAATCGATGCGGAGGATATCACTTGCCTGGCTGATTTAGCTGTGAGGACGACAAAAACTGTGACCCTTTGCGGTATCCAAAGAAAGTGATGCATCAGGTGGACGCTTTTGTGACACTCTTCAAAGGGGAAAGTCAAGTCATTAGGTTGTGAGACCTTAATGTCAACATCCCGGTGGTGAACAGTTCCTGGAAAGTCCTGCCAGATGAGATGGCTTGAGCTGGTGCCGAATTTAATGTAGTGGCAAAGACCGTTAAATGGAGTGCCCTGAAAGGGCCGCTCTCTTGTCTTTGCGGCCAGAGATGGCTCCAATTTTAAGTAGGTACCCTGTGTGCCATTCCCGGTATAGTCTCAGATTGGTACCCCTCATTTTCAAGATGGGGCACCCTCTCGAGTGAAACTACCCGGCAAATGGTCTCAGCCAATCGACGTGCTGTATCGGGAACCAGGATGTGTGTTGAATGTGACGTGTCTTTCTTCTTTCTAAAGGCGACAAACCTGGGTGATGCCCTACTTTGTATCACAGAAAGATATCCGGGATCCGCACAACCTGGACCTTGGCGCACAGAGAGGTTCTAGAAAGAGCTTTGTACAAGGGTTTCCCACACACCCGTACTTGGTGGTTCAATCCCAGCACTGAAAGAGTTCTGACACGCATTCAGCTGGTAGCCACATCTCCGAGGCTTGACCGTGAGCAGATCGACACTGAGATCCGGACTTTCTCTCCAGAAGGCCCCACATAGCAGTCTTCTGACTGAATTTACCTTCATGTCTGTCTCGAATTGGGGCAGCCCCTTTTGGATAGTTTTGCAGGGAAACCAAAAAGGAAGCCAAACACATAGAGGGTTCGCATATTTTGGACACTCACACATGCTGCGCACACACACAATACACTGGCTTGGGAAAGAATCTCGTTAGAGCAAAAGTTGATTATGGGGCTCCTTGTCATTGCAGGACTCTCTCAAGCTCGATGCAAATCTGCCTGAAGGCGGATAGTTTTTGTTTCTTGTCAGGGTTTCGAAAAGCACTCGTTAGTGCCACCATGCTGTCCCCTTGTCTCACTGCAAGATTTGTCTAGCGCTTTCGCATTGGGCGTCACTTCAAACGCCCAACCTCGACTGGCCGTTTGAAGCAATGCCTCTAACATGTATCACTGGCATAGAGCTGGTGCATGAGATACCAGAGAGCAACACCCATTGGTTTGATGCTTTGGCACGCACCGACGCTATGTATATATATATATATTATATAGATGGTGTTTAAAACAAAACAAACAACATCAAAATGCGGGAGACCCTCAAAATTGGTGGTTTTATGTTTGTTGTGCTTCAATACCACCCCAAACAGGGTACCGTCGAACAACGACATCCACATATCCCTAGCACGGCCAAAGTTGATCGGATTTCCTCCGGGGCTTTGCGTGAAGGGCCCATTTGACGATGTGTTTTTTTTTGGGTGGCCGTAAAAATAGAGTTGTTGTTGCCCTTTGGCTTTCCCTTTCCGCAGGCGGTTTGCCGCGGGGCCCAGTTTTCGATTTTCTTGTCAAGTGATGAGGCAATCAACCGGCTCCAATGCAAAGGGGCCAAGCTATACTTGTGACAGATGGGGGCTCTGCGCCAACGGGAATTGCATTGCCCGTCATACCAACAAGTTCTTGAAGTGACGCTGTGGGAATCCCAGCAAACGGTATCACAACCGCAACGTGCTTTCGTTGAACTTAGATCACTGCGTTCCCAAACGTGGTTTTCAATATGAAACCTGACGAGGTGCTTGTGACCATTTCCCCTTTAGCCCACGCCTGACCTTGGTTAGGAGGACTAAAATTCCATACCCAAGCTGTACCCTACGGTTCAAACCACCATTAAAAACAAAAAATTGGGGGTTCATACACCATTGTTTGCCTAAGGCTTGTCATCCGAATTGGGTCCAACTTGCCATTCTTTCATGGGGCCAAGGAGCGCTAGGTTTCTAGCTGTCTGATGGGTCAAGTTGATCAACTCGCCAGGTGAGTCTCGCGAAGCGACGCGACTTGCGGTCTACAGGGTTGGTTCCATCCGGGTGT